ACATGTACCAGCTAGGAAGGAACTTCACGATCACTGCTCCTGCTAAGCAAATAATTTTACGAGACTCTTTCTGTTCCTGGTCCTTCCCAAAACAGGCAGGCAGACAATGCCACAACACTGTGCCTCCTGAATTACCTGCAAGCAACTCATCTGAGCAATCTGCTTCACCAATTATAAATCTTTGTTTCAGAAAGGCCTGTTTTATTACCGTAAGTACACAGGGAACAGACTGACCTCAACCTGAAGCCAGGTGACAGCTGTTTCCAAAACTGCAATCTGTTTATTGACGTGAGAGAAGAAAAGGCATACAGGAGTGACTGACGGATCAGCAGAACACTTATAACCTCCCCAGGTTTGGAGAGCTTGAAGCCAATTAGTTTTATTTCATGTGTAAATGATACTGTAAAGTGGAGCAAACAGGAATTCATTGGCGCATACTAATAAAGCACAAGGCAAACACTTCCACTATCACTTCACGTGCTTTTTATGTAGAGCCTCTGTCTCGCGCTCCTTCTAGGGAGGGATCAGAAGAAGCTGTGCACCCTTCAGCTGGGTGCATCCACCCACCAGCACCCAGCAGCTTCATGCACAGCCCACCACGGCTGGCTTCTCACCTCCAGCGTGATCAATAACATGAGCTGCCACACACACCGTGGCAGCTGTGCTGACCACAAAGATCACTTCCTAAATTTAACTATTCCATCGGTCAGGCAACCTGCAGAAGTCTCTGAATGACCGAAATGGTTCCACTGTGCTCGGTACGGTTCTAAAGTCACGTAAGCATATTCTAACAGGGTCAGAGGAACAAGTTATCCCACAAACACAAGAACAAAGGAAAACTAGTTTCCTGTACATTTATTTTTGTCCTTACTGCTTTTTCCCAGGTCCCTCCGTGTGCTCACTGATAACCCCATTAGGGAACACATGGTATTTACTGACTTCATCCAAGAACCACGGATGTATCTCACATACTTGGTCAACTGCTCCGAGGCAGAACATGTACCACTGGAGGTCCACCTGCTTTCCTCTGACTGCAGCCATCTCATTTTGGCCTTTCTCTTCTAGCTAAAAAGAGACATTTCATAAAGCTTACAGAAATTACAGAGAAGAAAAAGAAAAATCAAAGCAGTATGAGAAGCTGTTGCCTGACCGAGTTGGGAATGCTGGAGTACACATGGCTCAGCAGACACTGCAGGTCTCATGGCACATCAGAATGTCTCTTTGCCAAGAGAAGGGGTGGAATTTTCAGCCAAAATTCAGGGGCACCAATGAGTCAGGAGCTGCAGAGTTGTTTTAAACAAATCCTCCTGTAATCAGTAACGCTGCTGCTTATTTTGAAAAGCAAGATATGCACGACAGGACAGGTGTGTGTGGGGGGAAAAACCTGCTCAGTTCTGCTGCCAAGTATTTTCCCTTAGTGAAGAGCATCTTAAAATATCCCAGCTTGGGTACCCTCCTGCTGGAGAGCAGCACTTGGCCTCGTCCTCTCCAATAGTTAGCAGCAAGCTGGAACTGCTCCAGGGCCTCTCCTCACATGCACTAAGAGAAGCAAGTGCTTCTAAGTATTTCAACCCAAGTTCCTATTCCCCTGTTTGTTAAGGTAGCTTGGTATTTGGCTTTAAATACTTGCTAGACTTAAGAAAGCAAAAAATATAAACAATTTATGATAAATTTTTATCCTCCATTTGAGGCCAAGCTGTAGTATCCAAGGCAGTCACATTACAAAGAAGTAACTGAACAAGATTTACCACTTCTCCCTCTTTAAGATCATGTTCCCTTAGGTGAAAGGCAACAACTTAACATATATTTCACATTACTCATCTCAATAACATGAAGATGAAGAGAGATTTATATAAATAGCTACTTGAAGAACATGATATTTGAATTTAGAGCTTATCCTTTAATTGAGTCAACAGCCCAAAACTTTCCTGAAGGGCTCAGCTTCCCTGGAGCTGCACACAACAGCAGTATTATGCACGCAGGCTGTAATCACTACTTCCTATGCTGTATAAACTGTGTTTAAAACAAAGGAGAATAAACAACTACCACCCACTGGTTGTCAGGCTGGCTTCTGCACGGCCTTTCTTGGACATGCAAACTGCTGAGCAGACATTTCCTTGGTGTATGCAATCTGTATAGATAGGCCTGTAAAGCTAGTCTGACCACAAGAGATTAATAGCTTTAGCCAAATAATGCAGTAACCATGTGAACGATGAGCTGCCCCAGCATGTTTGCGAGCCCCGCAGCGAGGTTCAACACACTGCCATCTGCATCTTGTTGCCAGGAGACACAACATCGCCCAGGAACATAAGGGAAGCCAGGTTGCAGTGACCACCAGTGAACTCCATGAAGAGTCACACTGTGTCCAAGCAGCCCACATTGGAAAATTTAGCAGGTTCTTCTGACACAAGATGTTTCGCAAGAAGAAACTGCAGATGATACGTAGCAAAATATCTAACCCCACTTCAAAATCTACTTGCTAAGCTTTAGGGCATATCAGATTCAATGTTTGCAATTAGAAGCTCTAGTCTTAAAAAAAGCTTCACTCCTAGTGTCTCACCAGTACTTATCCACAAACACGAAACTCTTCCAAGGGATGAGGCACATACAAGAGTTACAGAATCTGCCAATTTGCCATTCCATGGTAGGGGGATATTATAAATTTACAGAGTCATCCAGCCTGGCATTTCAGCATGATTCCGTACTGAAATAAAGATCTTTCTTAGCAACGTCTTCTAAGAGAAGGGAGAAGTGTACAGGCTATAGAAGTGGCAGCTCAAAACAGAATTTACTTAGAAAATCACAGAATCCCAGCATGGTAGGCATTGGAAGTGACCTCTGGAAATCATCTCAACCAACCCCTCTGCTCCAGCAGGTTACCCACAGCAGTGTGCCCAGGATCACATCCAGGCGAGTTTGGAACCTCTCCAGAGAAGGAGACTCCACAACCTCTCTGGGCAGCCCGCTCCACCCTCACACAAAAAAGTTTTTCCTCCTGTTCAGGTGGAACCTCCTGGGTTCCAGTTTGGGCCAGTTGCCCCTTGTCCTGTCACTGGGCACCACTGACAAGAGTCTGGACCCATCCTCTTGCCCCCCACCCTTTAGCTCTTGATCAGCATTGATCAGACCCCCTCTCAGTCTTCTCCATCAAATACTGATGTTTGACATGATTTTACCCTCAGTAAGGCAGACACTCGCTGGGTACCAGTTCGACTCAGTGAGGCAAAACCTGGTTTGTATTCAAAGCTCCTTCCCCAGTTGGGCAGCAGCCTGGGCAGCAGAGCCCTGCCCCAGCACGCCGGGGCTGCCAGGATCACGCTTCTGCTCTGACCTCACTCACGGGCACAGCCTGTCATCTGTTTGGCAACACACCCCACCAGTTTCTTCCCGACCGGTTCAGGCAGACAGAAACTCTCTGTACCCAGAGACCAGAATACCCACCAGACTGGAAACCTGCAAAGTAAGTGTAAAGGCAGGCAACGCTACTCAGCCAATTTCACAGCCCGGCGATGAATGAGCCATTAGGAAGCACTGTTTCTATTAAAATTAATGATTCCTAACTCCAGCACTTAGAACATGTTGATCATGTGCATGGTGATTGATTCTCTGAGACTAGCTTCAAAAAGAAAACTTTTTGCTCATTTGCACAGAGCTCAAATTTTCATTACGTGCATGGGCTTGTCTTATGTCTACATTTGCTGTTTTGTTTTCAGAAATCATTTAAAATTCTTGGAAAACATGGAAGTTTCTCTATTTCTGAAGTTTACAGTTAATTTTATCTGCTGTGCAGTTACGATTTTTTTTTTGGTTTTAAACAGAACGTATTTTTTCAAAGTAATCCTATAAGATATGATTATTCTTTAGTACATATCACTTATTTCCTGCTTCATTTTCAGCATGGTGTATCTATATTCTGGTACTGTCTTCAGTACAAAGGGTGAATCTGTAGGCTGATGGAACCTGAGTTTTAGTGCCTAATAAAACATCCAGTCAGGTAAAAGTAAAGACACACACTGACATTAAGCATTAGAGGGGGTCTCTGGTGCCTAGTAAATCTCAGCTCAGTAAATGAAAATTAAAACACTAGGGAAGACGGTTCTTACTTTCTTCAGGAAGTGGAAGGGAGAAGAGGCACCACAGGGACTCAGGTGGCAAAGGCAACTGGAGGCTTTTACTACCCAAGTACAGAAGCGTCACTTTGAACTGGCTCTGACTGGAATGAGTTGCACCAGGCTCACAGGTTATTGCAAAGCAGATAAGATAGGAGAAATTCACATTGTGTGCTTCCCCCAGAGAAAAAAACAAGAGCTATAAAGCAGCCGACACCCCACACTCCCGAGACCATGAGCTAAACAGATCTGATGAACTTGGACACACCAGCACTCCCCACTGCTATTCCGAACGGAGCCTGCATCAAAGCTGCTGAAGTAGTTTTGGTTTAGATCTCAGGGTGCAGGATCAAGCCTAAACTGATCACATAACAGGGAAAGAATGAGCCGAAACATCACCCTATACTGGCAACTATATGAAATTTCCAGCCAAAGAACTCAAAGCACCTGATTATAGTCACTTAGAACAATTATGAAAACTGTGCCTGGAGTGCACACAGTGAATCTGGATTCGCAAGGACAGAAGGCAACTGCTGCATCATTACTGCTTCAGCTACAGCAAAGGCTCACTCATGTTGCCCCTTCGATTACAGAGAAAAGACTAATTGGGAAACCAGAAAGAACAAGCACCATGTTACCCAACAGACTCTGTCAACTCTCCTTATTTCTTACTTCACATGCTTCAAGTCCTTCAGCTTCAAAGAATACTTTCCAGATGCTAAATAGGAGTTGCAATAGGCATGCAAGAATCTTCTGTTGTGGGCAACTTGTTGAATATTACTGAGGTAACATCATCACAGGGTTTGTAAAACACTTGTTTACAAAACATCAGGAAAAAAAAGGCAGGGTCAATTAAGTAACCCTTGGAAGGAAGGGAGTAAAATGAGTCACCTACCGGTATCTCACTTTGATCCTGTCATTTTCAGGGTTGCAGTAGAGTCTTTCCAGATGCTCCTGGGAATCATTGGTCACACTTTGCCAACTCTGGGTTGCTGTCCTCCTCACTTGCCAATGATAAGGTAAGACCGTGTGATGTTTGGGACAGTCGCTGCCATAAACACACGTGCCCTTGAGAAAATCCACACAGATTTCTATTCCATCTTCCTGATGGGTGTGATACTGCAACTGGTTCAAGAGCTCAAATACCAGATCAAGAGAAGCTTCTTCACTTTTATCCTGGAAGATCCCAGCACTGAATTTATTGCTTGGGTTCAAACTGTATTGCATCAGACAGCTATTCTCTTGGAATAAGCCAGATGTGTAGCTTTCCAGAATCTTGTCTGGAAGCAAAGGACAAGATGCACCATCAGTAGCAGTTGGGTGCAAAGGATGATCCTGGAATGACTCATTACTACTATCAGCAGCAGTCCCAGGAGTAGTTTCAGGTGAGAAGCCCTGCTCGCCTGCCTGGACATCCTGCTTAGGATGCCCAGAAGAAGGAGGAGCTACTGGCAGTTGCCTCTGCGCATCTGGAGCTGTTGGCATCAGCACTGTCACATTATTTTCTGATTGGGGGCAAGAAGTACCAAGGTCCAGAGTCTTTTTCACAGCAGGTTCACATAAACTACTATGACTGCCACTTTGGCCTCGGGCCACAAAGACTCTACTCAAAGTCCCAGCTCCCAGCAAACTGGTGAAGATTGGCCGCAAAGCCCGCAGAGTTTCTGTGTCCAGTCTCTTCTGCACTTGCTGCTTCTTCTTGAAGCAAGGCTTCACTGGTGGTATCTTTTCAGACAGACTTGCCTGAGGAGGAACGTCCTCTGAAGGAGGGCACTCCATTCCTGGGCAGTGAGCCTGCTGCACAACACACCCCGGCTTCGGTTCGGTGTCCATCAGGCACAGACTTTGCTCTCTCCAAATCACTTTCAAATGTCCCAGAGCCTCGCAAGAATCTATCTAGGGCAGAAAGGAAAACAAGACAGTTAATCTCTCTAATTGCTCACGGCTGACACGAACAAGATCACCCCTGGAGAGGATTTTGAGCCAGCAACAGCAAACTCCTCCCTTCTCTGTGACTGTGGGTAGCCCCTAGGCACGTAAAGCATGAAACCAGCTAAACTCAGGCTAATTAATCCCAAATACACACTCATCGTCTTCTCACATATGAAATCTCAGAGGTACTCAGGCACGAATACACAGTCCC